TTGAACGTTTCACCATAAAGGTAATGCCTCCATAATTTTAAGGCAAACACGATAGATGCCAACTCTAGATCATGAGTTGGGTAGTTTCACTCATGTGGCCTCAATTTTCGTGAAGTATATGCAATCATCTTTCCGTTCTGCATCAAGACACAACCCAAACCAAGATATGAGGCATCACTATACACCACATATTCTCCTCCCTCCACCGGTAATGTCAGAACTGGAGCTGAAGTCAACTTCTGCTTCAAATCTTCAAAACTCTCCTGGCACTCTTCCGTTCATATGTATGGGGTTTCCTTCCTCAATAATTTAGTCATATGTGATGCTATTTTAGAAAACCCTTCCACAAATCGACGGTAGTACCCAGCTAACCCCAAAAAACTTCGTACTCCAGACACATCCTTAGGTGGAGTCCAATTCACAATAGTTTCAATATTCTTTGGATCCACCTCTACTCCCCTGATGGACACCACGTGTCCTAGAGATAATACTTCTTCCAACCAGAATGCACACTTCGAGAATTTGGCACACAACTCTTTTTCTCTCAAAGTTTGCAATACCAATCTCAAGTGCTCAACATGCTCTTCCTCATACTTCGAATACACTAGAATGTCATCAATGAATACTATGAAAAATTTGTCAAGATACTCATGGGAAAACTTTGTTCATAAGTGCCATGAACACGGCCGATGCATTAGTAAGTCCAAAAGACATCACCAAAAATTCATAGTGTCCATATCGTGTTCGGAAAGCAATCAACGGTACTGTTTTCTCTCCCACCTTCAACTAGTGATATCTCGAACTCAAATAAATCTTTAAAAACACTGTTTCTCCTTGTAGTTGGTCAAACAAGTCATCAATTCGAGAAAGTGGGTAACTTTTCGTAACAGTCGCCTTGTTTACCCTCCAATAACCAATGCACATTCGCATGGACCTAGGGATGGCAATGGGTCCAAAATAGGTCAGGTAGTGCTATACCTGGACTTGCCCCACAATTTTTCTTCTAGACCCGCCCTGTCCCACGACCTGCAACGGGTCTTACTTCAGCGACCCACAACCTGCCTTGAATGGGTCGGGGAAAACCCTCCCCGCCCCATGCTTTATGATATTCGCTCACTCAAGAGGAAACTCGCAGGCAAGATAGCAGGTTCTAGCTGCCTCTAAGAGCAAAAGGCAAAGAGTTGCAGATGAGATGATGATTGATGAATTGTGTTTGCCGACAATTAAAGACACCTTGCGGAGTGGGAAAACAACTACTTTCTTGGCATGGTAGTGATGAGGATTGACATCCAGTGAGAAACTGGATTATGAACAGCTAACAGAAAGGAATAAGATGAATAATTTAGGGTCTAGATGGGTGGGACGAGATTAGGGAGTTGTGGTTTTTCGTCTCCCTTCTGGAAAACTAGGGATTAAAGAAGACGAGTAGGCCACCTAGGGAGAGTTAAAGCTATAATGGGCTCTTTGTAATTAATATTAATATTTGAATCTAATCGTTAAAAAGGAAAGAATAATAAAAAAGAATTATTTAAATACTTTATAGGGAAAATAGTCAGAGATAAAGAAATTGAAGATGGGTCACTGCTAATGGCTATGGGCGGCACTACTAAATCCATCTAGATCCATATGCTGGAGGGCCAAGGCGGGTACAGGTCGGGCCCAAGGTGATACCCAGGCCTGGCCTTGCCCGTATGCGGGCCTGGTCAAGGCCCGCGCCATTAAGCAACGGGCTGGGTTTGATCTACCTCAAAATGGGGTGGGCCGGGCCAAACCCGCCGGTCCGGGTTGCCTTTGCCATCCCTACATGAACCCATCTTTCTTTTTCACAAATATCACAGGCGCTCCCCAAGGTGATATACTTGGTCGGATGAACCCTTTGTCCAAGAGTTCCTGCAACTGTTCCTTTAGCTCCTTCAATTCGATTGGTGCCATTCGATATGGTGGGATGGATATGGGAGCATTTCCAGGTACTAACTCGATGTTGAAATCCACCTCCCATTCGATTGCCCCCAAGGAAGGTCTTCTGGAAACACACTTTGGAATTCATTCACGACCCGTACTTCCTCCAACGTTTCTTCTCTAGCCACCTCAACTTGCACAAGGATAGTCTGACGTCCTTCTCTTAGCAGAGCATACATCTCCATCGCCGAGATCCTACCCATCGGAGTTGACTTTCGTCTTCTCAACCCTTGGAATATCATCTGTTTACCCTCATCACCAGACAAGCGTATTTCCTTCTTTTGGCAATCCATCACTGCCCTGTGACGAGATAACCAATCTATGCCAAGAATCACATCGAACTCATTGAAAGGCAAAATCACCAGCTTTGCCTTCAATCCACTCCTCCTCTCACAACATCACAATTGCGTATCACGCAATTAACTACCACCGAAATACCCAATGGTGTTCTCACACCCCATCGTGTAGTCAGTTCAGTTGATATGATATGCATGTTACTGGTTTAGCTGACAAAAAAGTTATGACAAAAGCTCCGGCAAAAGAACTTGGATGAGGTTGGTTTGACGATTTTGGCTTTGTAACTAGATTTGTTTGGGTTCTTAACCTTTGTTGGGCTTTACAGAGATTATGCTAGACCTTTGTTATCTGTTCTCTCTTTCCTTTCACTTCTAACTTGTATATATAGTGGAGATTTCTTCAATGGTGGGTTTGAGTAAAGAAGAAGATGAAGGGAGATCACCAAGCCTTTAAAGGATGTTCAAACTCATCCTCTCCAGGGGCGGAGCTAGGATTTGAGTATCGGGGGGGCCGAATTTTTTTTCCTCGTATCATCGAAGAATCCATAAAAGCACAAAAATAATTACAAATAATAAGAAAATCAAATTATTATTTGAGATAATTAGATTCATTCAAAGTAGGAATTAATGCTAAAATAAAAATTTATCATATTATTTAACTACAAATGAGTTAATTACCAACAAAAATCAATAATACATTTCATATGCAATATGTTTTTAACAATTTTCACAACGGTAAAAGAAATGTTCACTATAAAATTTACTTATTATATAGCAAAAATAATAGTTAAAATTTGGAAATGAAAAGCTAAAGAATTTAATTAATATAGCACAGATTCAAAAAATCAAATATAAAAGTCACAGACTATGCGACTAAGTTTGTATCTAAGTAAAACTGAAAACTAAGAAAATAAACTTGCTCTCGTTGGGTTTCAAACCCGAGCTTGGTCGGCATTATTGCACCACAACTTCCGCTAGACCAACTCTACTTTACGTTTCTATTTTTGCAAATGTCATTTATTTATTCATTCAAAACATCCTTAAGTAATACGTAATTAGCAAAGATCATATCGAATTTATGCGTAACTCTCAAAATTCTCGGGGGGGGGGGGGGGGGGGGGGGCCTCGAGCCATAAGCTAGCTCCGCCCCTGATCCTCTCCCCTCTTTACTCTCAGTAGGTGCCTTGAATACTCTTCGAAGGCCACCTTCATGTTTCAGGATCATGGTGATCCCATGTCGAGTTCTACAGCAGGCACCGCTAAATAAATTGGTTCTGCTACCAGTGCACGCAGTGAAGAAGGATAAAAATCAACCAGGGTGCTTTCATCAAGACGGATTACAGCTGGCGCGGTAAGATGTAGGACCTTCTTTACTAACCAACAAGTCTCTAGTTCGATTCCTGCAAGCTACCCATTTATTTTTGTTAAGGTTTTTTATGCTCGGAGAGTTTCCAAGTGGTTTCACTGATCCTATCTCGTATAGGATAACTTCTAGATTTTTTTTCCATCCTCAAATCATACAATTTATGTATGACACTTGGAAAAGAAATCTATCCGAGATTCGGGAAGTTACACAACCTTGATCCATGGACGCAAAACAATCATCCACTCCACCAAGTAATCGTCGTCATGCATGTTCTCGCTTCCCAACTCCATCTCAACATAAAGCAATAAAGGCAACCTCTAAGGATATGACAAGGGAAGCATAAGAGCTAAACCATCATACATATCGTCAAATGGACATATGAAGCTTAAAGGTCCAAAATGCAAGCAAATGCATGGAATCGCTCATGCATTCACAAGGATTCGAATTAAGTATATTAGGAAGAGAGAATACGAAAAGGAAGAATACAAGGTGATGGGGTGGGCAAAAATCTGGCGAAGGCGGTAGAGTAAGCAAACAAAGGTCTTACAATGGTCGACAAAGGGGCGATCCTAGGCAAAATATCATGGTTGAAGATGGGGGAATGATGGTAGAATGGAGAATGATTGTAGCAAAACATTCCCCACATTAAGGTCCACCATTAAGACGATACCTCTTTCAAAATATTGTCCTTACGTTATTTAAGATAGTCAGACATAGGTTTGTGACAAGACTACTTCCTATCAGAAGGGGTTCAATCACTCGTTCATTTGAAGTGCAAATTTGTAGATTATGAGGGTTTAGGATCACCTTTACTTGCATAAGTAGTTGATCATACCATCTTCTAGACATTCCATGATGCGTAGTACTAGGTACGACCTATAAAGTTAGGGTCGGCCAACTTTATTGATGATGGGCTACTCCAAGATAGTTCTGAAATTGAAACTGAGTTTATCTCTCGTAAGTGCTTTTCCCTTGATTACATGGTCGTTTTCTCCTTGATGCTGAATATCTTGAGAGTCTGTGTGCATCTTTGGGAGGCTCATAGAATGTCACACGAGCAAAAAGGTAGTTACACGGCCCGTGTGACCCCTAACCATATTTTCTTCTACTCCTTCGTGGTTCTAAGTCTCTGAACATCATTCAATCGCTGCAAAACTCATGTTTAATCCTCTATTTATGTACTAGGACCTGAAATATTACAAATGAATATAACCTAGCGTAAAATATGGATTGAATGCAAGAAACCAAACTCAAATGACCAAAAAATGAGGAAATAAACATTTCTAAATATGAGGTTATCACCATGATACTATTGTCTTTTTGCCTACATTAAGAACACATTTTTCTTAAGATATAAAATCTTCAATGAAGCTGGTATCTACTAATTACTACGGGTGTAAGAAAAAATAAAAACACAGTAAATAGATATAATATGAAATTTTAGTTTTGGGATTTTTTTTTGTGTGTAAAAATAATTGATCTTAATTGAATAATTTCTCATTAGTTAGAAGGAGGAAAGAGTCTGACAACTTATTTGTTCTTACGTTTCACATTTTATTTTTTTGATTCGTTTCTGTTTTTCTTACGGTATCCGAAACCAACAAGTATTACGCCTCCAGCCTCCTCTCCTCCTGTCCGACTCTATTCCTATCCCCGCTAGCTAACTCTGTGTCTCTCTCTCTTTCCCCGTCGTCTTTCTCATAAGCAAAACCCTAATTTCACCTCCTTTCTCAAGATATTCAGCACATAATATTTGGGGAGGAAAAAGAAAATTAATTTAAGAGGCAATAGGCCGGAAGAGGAGCTCTACAGCAATTTCTTTTCACAATCCTTTCCCCTTTCGCCTTCTCTCTGATTTTCGCCTCCGCCCACTTCCTTGTGCGGTTGCCTCCCAACCATTACCAATCTTCTGTTCCTATCCAATTTTGTTCTTCTTCTCTCTGGGAAACGCTTATGGTTTAAGTCTTTCGGCGCAGGAGCTATTGAGCCTGCAATCGCACCCGGTGCTAGGGTTAGTTCGCTTCCCTTTCTTCTCTCTGGCCCGAAATATAACCTCCCCTATTTTGGTGCGTCGTATACAATTTCCTGTTGTCCGCCTTCAAACCCTAGAACATTGCAGTTACACGTAGGACAGGGAGGGTGGGTTGTATTTGGGACTGTGGTGGGACTGCTAGGGTTTCTGCTCTTTTCGGAGAGTCTTCTCCTTGCACTGATTCGTTTCAGTGCTTGCCCCCTTGGTTTAGGGTTTTGATTGGAACAATATTGTTTCATGGTGTTGAACCCTCGTCCGAGAATCGTGGATATTCTCTTGTTGATGGTGTAGATTCTTCTTCTGACTCCCTTGTGCTTGGCCAAATTGTGTTTGGACATGGAGGCCTGTTGAGTGTTTTCCTGCTGGTGTGTGCTGATCCATCATCTTAGTTGACGATGGAGGCGTAGGGAAGGTGGTGGTGGGAAGAGAGGCGGGTAACGTTTCAACCTCAATTCTGCCGTGTTGCAAGCTCGGTTTTGCCACTGCCTTTATTACTGCGCTCTGGGTTTGCAGTTGTGTTGAGAAATTTTGCTTTTCAGACACCCTATACTGGTTAATAGCTGCGAACAACTTGATAGAGAAAAGAACAACAAACGTCAAGAGAGCACACCAAAGTCTAAAGTTTTTACTCCCGTTTGGTCTAGTTCCTGAGGGCAAAGGTTGGTTGGTTGCGGAAGAGCAACAACAGTGAAGGTCGGTAAACCATTAGTTCTGCACAGCAGGACAAACCTCTGGTTTGAGAGGGGTGCTTGAAGTTGAAGAAAACATTTTCTTCGGTTTTTGTTTCTGATGATGTTAAGTGCTTATCCTTATGGAAAGAAGTGAACCCACATTAGTCCCAGAATGGTTGAGAACTACTGGAAGTGTTTCTGGAGGTGGCAGTTCTGCCCACCACTTTGCATCTTCTTCTTCTTCGCACTCTGGTAATTAATATATTCTATTTGTAGATTTCCAGTTTGCATATTTTTATTGGTTATGTGTGGTCTCATTTAAGTTGTTTCTGTTGTTCAATAGATATATCTTCTTCTTCAAATCATTCGAGGAGCCGGAATTCTAAGAGCACAAGTGATTTTGATTCCCCTCGTCTGGCATTTTTGGATCGAACATCTTCATCCAATTCTCGAAGGAGTTCCAGTAATGGGTCTGGGAAGCATGCATACAGTAGTTTTAGTAGAAACCATCGTGACAAGGAACGAGATAGGGACAAAGATAGGTTGAGCTTTACTGACCATTGGGATCGCGATCCTTCTGATCCTTTGGGAAGCTTATTAACTGTTAGGAATGAGAAGGATACATTACGTCGGTCTCACTCAATGGTAAACAGGAAACAGAATGATGTGTTACCCCGTAGGGTTGCATCAGACTTGAAGAATGGAAGTAGCAGCAGCAATCATGTAAATGGCAATGGCTTGATATCTGGTAGTGTTTTGGGAAATACTGCTCAGAAGACTACATTTGAGAAGGACTTTCCCTCACTTGGAACTGAGGAGAGACCTGTTGTACCTGATGTAGTGAGAGTCTCATCTCCTGGGTTGAGCAGTGCTATTCAGAGCTTGTCGGTTGGGAGTTCTGCTTTGATTAGTGGGGAAGGATGGACTTCTGCTCTTGCAGAAGCACCTCCAGTTGTTGGAACCAGTAGTTCCCCTACTGTTCAAGCAATTACTCCATCCGCATCTGCTTCTCCAACTGCAATGGCTGGTCTTAATATGGCTGAAGCATTGACTCAGGCTCCTTCAAGAGCTCGTACAACTCCACAGGTAAAATGAGCAACATCGGTTTTTCATGTTTGATTTTTCTTTTGTTGTTTTTATTGTGAGTGTTAAGATCTCGTCATAAATGTACAGTTATCAGTCCAAACACAAAGGCTTGAGGAATTGGCTATTAAGCAGTCAAGGCAATTGATACCGGTGACACCTTCGCTTCCTAAGAGTTCGGTGAGAGCCTTTCTTTAATAATGAATTCATTATTATTACTGTATGAGATGGATGAGAATGATTTGTTGTATAGTATAAAAACAATGAATTGCTTACTTTGTTTTGGTTTTCAAAAATTTGCTGCGCCAAAATGATCCTCTTAAAGCGAAGAATATAACATCTGGAATTGAGTAGTTTTGGCACTGTCTGTGAGGGATGTCACTGGCACTTGGGCTGCCTGAGTGTTCACATATGTGAAGAGATTGCTAACCTTCTGCATTCTATGTATTGTTCCTATTTGTGAGACATACTGTTTTGTGCAAAGGCGATGGCAGGAATACATTATTGTTCCAAGTTTTTATTTTTTTAACATTGAAGTTCAAACAAGAGCACCCCCTCCCCCTCCATGCCTGCCATTCGTCCCTGCCTTCTAGGATTGAGAACAATTTGGTTTATATGACTGTGGTAGATGACTGAGTGAAACTGATTGGGCCTAAATTCCTCATCCTTTGTTTTGTTGCGCGCAGGTTTCTAGTTCTGTTTTATTTAGTTGTGAAATGTGAACCTCTTGCATCCACATGAAATCGTATTTACGTTGTCAGTTGTCAAGTGATGAACTCATTGCTGTACTCTGTGTAGTAATAGCATGAAATATCCGAAATTTTGTTCTTGGTGGTAGCAGGTTCTCAGTGTTGACTCTCACTGATTCTTACATGCTTGTATGCTTCAAGTGGAACAATGTGGTGTATCTGATAATTATGGCAATAATGCTTGTTATCAACAGTGTGAATGTTCATTAAAAAACCATTGCCAACGTTTTCAGCATGCAGCACTTGCTTTCTCAAGAGGAGTGAATGGGTGATAATGGCCCAAGAATGCATGAATTTTTCAAGTTTGAATCTTTTTGGATTCTCATTATGTAAGTTCATGGACTGTAGGTTATTTTTGCACCCCTTGAAAAGAAACGGGAAATTAGAAAAGGGAACAATATATTATAAGTAGTACTTTCCCTCCAAATCGAAGGGCACAGCTACAGAGCATCTTAGCCTGCAATCATCTGATTCTTTATGCACTTTGAATGTGTTGGTGAACTTACCATTACCCCGATAATGTTTAACGCACTTGAATGTGATGTAGGGATGTGTTTTAATAGGAGGTTATGCCTGATTTGGTCATTTGATGAATGCCATTTTGCCAGGTCCTAAATGCGTCTGACAAATCAAAGCCTAAAGGTGGTGTGAGATCCGGGGAGATGAATATGGTCAAGAATTTGCAGCAGCAACATCAACAACCTTCTTCATTTCTTCATCCCATCAATCAATCTCATCTTGTTGGGAAGTCGGAGGCGCCAAAGACAAGTCATGGGAAACTTTTCATACTCAAACCAGGGCGAGAAAATGGTATATCCCCTTCTGCTAAGGATGTTGCTAGTCCAACAAATAGTACGGGAGCTAGACTAGTAAATCCCCAACAAGCCGCGGCTGCTGCTGCTACCTCAGTCGCTGCATCTGTAGCTCCAAGAAGCCCAAACAACCCTTCAAAGATTTTCTCTGGGGGGGAGCGGAAGTCGAATGTGATGATCCCAGGGTTTAGTATCGAGAAGAAACCTTCCTTGTCTCAGACTCAGAGTAGGAATGATTTCTTTAACTTGTTGAAGAAGAAAACCTCTGGAAACGCTTCTACAGTGGTGTCGGATTCAGCAACTGGTGTGGTTTCATCTGCTGGTGGTGGCGAGAAATCAAATGTGGTCTTGGGTAAAGAATTGGCTGGTGACGATGGTGGTAGTTTGATTACTAGCAACGGTGGTAGTAGTGAGACCTGTGAGGAAGTTCAGAGATTTTCTGAGGAAGAGGCTGCATTCCTTCGGTCCCTTGGTTGGGAAGAAACTTCTGGAGAGGATGAAGGCCTTACCGAAGAGGAGATCAGTGCTTTCTATCAGGAGGTAAACCGGAAAAACAAACTTTGTACACTTCTGTAAATACCTGGGTTGCTGTAGCAGTTCACGTTTCGGACGACCTGTGACTGACATTTGAGTTTGTTGTGTTCACCTTTGACAGTATATGAAACTGAAGCCATCGTTGAAAGTGAATGGGCAAATGCAGCAGTAGAAGCTGGTCGATTCTCGCTCTGGATCTGAAGATTGAAGATTTTTTGTCGCCGTATCATGGGATGGAAGATGAGAGATGCAGGACTGGCAATTTTGGATGGGCAGGCAGATGGGTAGTAGTTTCTCTTTTCTTTTCAATGTTTTTTTGTTTCCTTTTTTATTTTTATTTTGCCGGCATTGGGAAGAAGCTGATGTTGTTACTATAGGCAAGGGGGAAGGGAGATGGTTTGATTTTTGATGGGAATGAAAAGGGTGGTTTGGGTTGGCATTTTGCAAATAGTGCAATAAAAAAGAGAGTAGTGCCTCTGGTTCTCTTCTTCGCCTGCTGCTGATGTCTGGGGGGCAAATTTTTTCATCAAGTTATGGTCTACTAGTCTCGTTCGTCCTCGTAATCACACAGTTGGATTTTGTGGGGGATGGCCGGCCTGGGGAAGAAAGAAAGGAAACCGGTAAAGGAATGGTCGGCGGGTGAATAGGCCGGAAAGGATTACATCTTTTGGGGATACTTTGGTCCTTTTCTCTTATATAATTTTTTCTTTATTCTACAAGGAAAGCCTCTGCTTCTTTCTCGTGTTCTTTTGTCAATTATTTACGAAGGAAAAGAAATTTAGAAAAAGAAGAGACAGAAATTCCATTTTAGTGTCGCACATAATTGTTGTTAGTAGCAAAACTAAACAGCTAATCCTGGAGCCCAGGAACACAGTGCTCTGATCTCTCTTCCTCCATGGGAGCAAATCTGTGTACTTAAATCTTGAACTCTTGCCGGGGAGATGTTTGCGGTGGAAATGAATACTGCGGGTATAACCTTGTCCAGCGGTTCATCATTGAGAAGCGGTCGATGGACCGGGATTTCGAACCTGAAACCGAGGAGTCAGAAAGCGGTACGAGTGGGGTCGGTTAGCATGCTAACCCCCTTAGGGATTGGAAAAATGACACCCCCTAGTATATTAAATACAACTATAATTAATACACAATAATTAATACACACATTAGGAATTAAATGTACCATATTAATTAGGAATTCTCTCACTATTAAATACACATTAGGAATTAAATACACACATTAAATACACATTAGGAATTCTCTCACTATATTTGATTTTTCCTTTTTCAGCAGTCTCCGACCACCAGACTTCCTCCGACCGCCACACTTCTCCGGTGAAAATCCCATCGACAGACTCCCTCCGACCACCTCCAAAAAACATACCACTGCACTGATACGGTGTACCACTGTACTGGTAGATATACCACTGCACTGATACGTTGTACCACTGTACTGGTAGATATACCACTGCACTGATACGTTGTACCACTGTACTAGTAGATATACCACTGCACTGGTAGCGATATTAGTGCACTGGTAGCAATGTCATATCTGAGTATCAGTGCAGTGCTACAAATACCAGTAAAGTGGTAATTAATGTGATGTATTTAATGCTTACTTTGTATTTAATAACAGAACATCTATTATGTTTACTTTCATTAATACTTGTCAATAATTAATAAAAAATTGACCAATTAAAAGGGGGGTGTCAAAAAACCAACCCCTTAAGGGGTTAGCATGCTAACCCGTCCCGTACGAGTGTTGTGAAGAACGTGGTTATTGATGATGAGATGTTTTGTCATGTGTAATTGCGCCACTATTCATCTTTTTGGTTGGATTGTTCTTCCGCTTGTCCTCGTCTCCTTGTATTAATTCGATGAAACTGTTATCTCGTTCCCCGGTTATTTGCGTAATTCTTGATTCTCGGCATTACGTTTGTAGGGTTACCGAGTATTGTTATTGTTGGGCCATAGCTGAGCAATATAGGGCTTGGAAGCCCAGAAGGGTAAGGCCCGTCCAAAGGGCCCAAGAAGACGTCTGGGGGAACGTAACACACAAGAAAACAGATAAAGGAAGGCGGCCATACTAGGACATGACAGGTACTAGGGCGCCTGACACAAAGAGCCGTTAGGGGCATAATGGGAGATCTTCCTAGGATACTCACCTCGAATACTGCAGGACTAAGCATTAATTGCCGCCGTAGGCGGTCTAAATAAAGTAAGACAAGGTATAGGGCGCCTGACATGGTCATTAATGCTCGAAGCCCAACCCAGACCACTATAAATACATTCATATCTGCATTGATGGTAGACCAACTACTCTCTCTCTCTCTAAACATTACTACAAGATTTCTCTCTCTCTCTAACTTGAGCTTTGGAGGGTGTCCTGGGTGATCACCCAAGGACCCTTGTTTTGCAGGAGCTTGGAGTCCCCCATCATCCGGATCGGTCGCCTTGCTAGTTCCGCAAACCCGCCTAGTACATTCTAGGCTCAAACAATTTGGCGCCCACCGTGGGGCTAGCATTGCACTGAAGAAAAGATGGATGGGAGCTCCAATACTCCCGTCAAAGGCGTAGTGGAAAGAAGTCCCCTTCGCGCACCAGACGCACCAGCGAGCGGAATACGAGGTATGGAGATGCCAACCGTAGAAGAAGAAATGGAAATGGAGGACCGCGTAAAGAGCCAAGGACAGCAAATATCGAGCATGCAAGAAAGCTTGATCCAAATTTTGGCGATGCTCAAGGAAAAGGAAAGTGACGCCCCCGAAAGCTCGGGAAGGAAGGCGGTCAAAGGGAAGAGGAAGGAAGGCGGTCCTAGCAGCCCAGTCTCAACAGAAGGCGGGGAGTCGGAGAAAGAAGAGGACGACCTTAACTTGGGATTCCTCGAAGAGCATCTCAAACCCTCATACGGGAAGGTGAAGGGCCCCAACATCCTGCAGAATCCACTAGCCAGGAGTTTGTTCAGGACCCAGGTCCCCCCTAACTTCTCGTCACTAGGGCTCCCAACGTACGATGGAAGCTCAGATCCCGCCGATCATTTGAGTGCGTTCATGCTCAAAATGCAACTCATCAACGCCACAGACGCTGATCTGTGTAAGGCGTTCCCCGTCACGTTCAGCGGTCACTGCCGAACCTGGTACACATCCCTTCCAGAAGGGATAATAGAGGATTTCGAGCAGTTCGCGACTCTTTTCTCTTCGAAGTTCGCGTCGCAGAGAAGGAGGAAGCTAATGGTCTCGTCACTCATCAATTGCAAGCAAGGAAGGGAGGAGTTGCTTACAGACTTCTACGATAGATGGAACACGATAGCCTGCGAGGTACAGGGGATCTCGCCAAGTGTAGCGGCGGGAAACCTGCGCATGTCGACGCATAGCCGCGAGCTACGAAGGGCGCTCATTAAAAAAGAGCACTCGCTGAAAGAATGGACCGATCTGGACCGCCTTGTGAGGAAGGCGATCCTGTTAGAAGAGGCCATGGCAATTGAAGAAACTGCCAGGCACCCCAACCCGAGAGAGAGAACAGAAAGGAAGAGAGGATCGCCAAAGAGAAGAGGGCGTTCTTCAGAAAGGAGAGGTTATAAGCCGCGGTTCGCGCAACGAGACAACAGGAAGGAAGTGTACACCACGAGTCAAGACGGAGGTCGGGATAGGCAAAATGACAGCAGTGCGCACCAGACGCACAGGAGAGAAGATGACCGAAAATGGTGCGACTGGCACCAAATGCCCACACATGACACCACGGAGTGTCGGGAATTCAAAGCAAGCCTCAAATACTTAGCACCCGGGGACCTCAAGAGCCGCTTGGACACGAGGCCACAGAAGGAGGAGCAAAGGCACCACAGAAATAGGTCCCCAAGTCCGAGAAGAAGATCCCGCACGCCGAAGCGGCATAGGTCGAGGTCGCGAAGAAGGGAACGCTCGCCTATGCGTGATCGCCTACCGCCACCACCGAGAAGGTCTCCTCCGCGTCGACAACCGCGCGTTAATGAGGATGACGTTGAGGTAATTACCATTGCGGGCGGCCGGAAGAGGCCCAGAAACGAAGGGGAGCGCCTAATCCAATGCCTGAACGTTCACAAGAGCGAACAGGTGGATATCAGCTTCTCACCTGATGAGCTGGCCCCTGAAGAGAGCGCGGAGGACCCGCTGGTCATCTCCTTACGGACGAGAAAGTTCAAGATCACCAGGGCGCTAGTGGACAATGGTAGTTCGGCGGACATACTGTTCTATTCCACACTCAAAAGCATGAAGATGAGCGTTCAAGATCTCAAACCTTCTTCCACCAGCCTCGTAGGGTTTTCAGGGTCAAAAATCAGAGTGTTAGGCCTGATCACACTACAGGTAACAATCGGAGAGGGGAGCATAACGAAGACCCGGTCCATGGATTTTCACGTAGCAGACTGCCCATCAGCATACAATGCAATCCTGGGGCGTGGTTTCTTGTCACTATTCTCAGCGGTCCCATCCACGTGCCACCAAACGCTCAAGTTCCCAGTAGGAGGACGCATTGGGCAAGCCAAAGGAAACACTGAACAAGCGAAAGAATGCTATCAAGCAACCATAGAAAGTTTGGAGGTAGACTTAGTGGACACCAGAGGCGGTCACCCTCGTCCAGAGGCGGTAGAGGGGGATGTCGAGGTAGTTTTGGACAGCGAAGAGCCGACAAAAAAGGTGAGGATTTCTTCTCATCTCGCGGAAGAAAAGGTAAGGGAGCTCCTAGTACTCCTCAAAGAATTCAAAGACTTGTTTGCGTGGACATCCGAAGACATGCCGGGCGTATCAAGAGAGCTCGCCGAGCATCGTCTGTCGGTCAAAAGTAAGGCGAAGCCAGTGCAACAGCGCAGAAGAAACGCGTCTCTGGAGAAGCAAATGGCGTTGGAAGAAGAAATTAAGCGGTTGCTTAAAGCCGGCTTCATAAGGGAGGTCAAGTACCCAACTTGGCTGTCGAACCCAGTCTTTGTTCGAAAAGCCTCCGGCCTCTGGCGAATGTGCATCGACTTCACCAATCTGAATGCAGCCTGCCCAAAAGACGCTTACCCTCTTCCGAGAATCGACCAGCTCATTGATGCAACCGCCAACCATGAAAGCTTGAGTTTCCTTGACATGTTCTCAGGATACCACCAGATCCGCTTATCTGAGGAGGATCAAGAGAAGACCGCGTTTATGACGCACATGGGAAACTTCTGCTACACGGTCATGCCGTTTGGCCTAAAAAATGCTGGGGCAACATACCAAAGGATGATAGATGCAGTTTTCAAAAGCCAACTTGGCCGAAACGTGGAAGCATATGTAGATGATGTTCTGGTCAAAAGCAAGGAAGAAGGGAACCACCTGAAAGACTTGAGGGAGACTTTCGAGAGCTTGAGAAAGGAGGGTCTGCGGCTGAACCCCCTCAAATGCGTGTTTGGCGCCAAAGCAGGGAAGTTCCTTGGTTTCATGATAACCAGGAGAGGGATTGAGGCTAACCCAAAGCAGATAGAAGCCATCACGAGTTTGAGGCCGCCCCGGACAGTCAAGGAGATTCAGGCATTCAATGGGAAAATGGCCGCTCTGAGTCGCTTCATTCCAAGATCTGCAGACAAATGTTCCCCTTTTTTCCAGATGCTCAAAAAGTCAGCGTCCCGTTCACAATGGAGCGCGGAGTGTGATAAAGCGTTCTTTCAGCTAACAGAACAGCTCCTCTCTCCACCCGTGCTAAGCGCCCCGAAACAAGGGGAGCCGTTGTATCTTTACCTGGCGGTGTCAGATCAAGCGGTCAGTTCAGTCCTAGTCAGGAGAGATACTGATGGCTCAGACCATCCTGTGTATTATGTGAGCAAAGCGCTCCTCCCAGCTGAGCGGCGCTACATGCCAATAGAGAGAGCAGTCTTAGCCGTGGTAACGGCCGCTAGGAAGCTCCGTCCCTACTTCCAGGAGCACCCCATAGTCATCCTCTCGAACCTCCCGCTAAGAAGAATACTAAAGGGCATGGACCTGTCAGGA